AGATGTGTATAAGAGACAAGTAGAAAGTAGACCTTTACATCATGCAGATGTACAAATTATGGGATCCAGTGAAAGAAAGAAAGAAAGAAAGATTCTCAACATCGTCTATCGATAACTTATTGAAAATCTGTAGCTACTAAAATGAAGTTAAGGTTAATTAAGTGATTAGATAGGTTAAAATGTTGAGCTACAGGAAAGCCTATAACATTGTCTCTAATGGTCTTTTGTGGCTGCTTTTTAAAATACTATTATGAGGGGAGTTTAGAAGATTAACTAGCGAGTTAAGGATAGGAGATTGTCGGCATGCATGGGATTTTGTATTTTACTGCGTCCTAACTGGATGAAGTACAGTCAGAGAGAATACGAAAATCCTGGGTGATAGGTTTGGCGAGAAGTTGGATCCAGATGCTGTCAAAGACTAAGGTATAATGAATCGTGTTCGATTTGTATTTGTATTCAAGTAGTTTCTGGCGTGATTTTGTTTTGGACTATAGGCCTACTTTAATGATAGGGTATAATAGGCCTATATTATGGGGAAGTTTGCTGCTTAAGCTTTGTCTACTCTACCAAATTTCATCAAAAAAAGCGTCACATAAAATGTGATGAAAAATGAGTTGAACACGTTCAACTTTTTTTATACAATTTGATAGTATGTGATATGACGTCATCGTACCCATATATGGACACATCACATTTTTTGACACATAAAATTGGACAGTGTAGACAAAGCTTTACTTAGTGTATTAGTATATTGATGTGTTTATCAAATTCTGTATTCGTGAGTATGACTGTATATGTATGTTTTGATTTTTATGGGATGTGCGCTATTTACATCGAGATACCTATGGCTGCCTTTAGGTTTAGTGTAAACAGATGAGGTAATTTTGTTTTACTTACTTTCATCCGAGAAAGAGTGCTCAATGCGTCGCCAAGGTACTTTGTCACCCGTGAGTGTGTGTTGGCAAGTCGTATGTCTGCTAATTGATGTTCTTTGCCACACAGTCAACATAGTTGAGTGAACTTCCGGACGTGCGGGAAGCCCCATGCGAAGTGAACATCAAAACTATCTGATTCTTGGTAAGGCGAATCCTGCGATATACGAAAGAGGGAGGGGCGATCGAGAGACAACATTACATTAGGGGGTCCGGAGACGGCCCGCCCCAACCCATGAATCTGGTTCGGCGTTGAGAGGATGGCTGAGATTGGATGAATGCCATCGTAAACAACTTTTTTGGTCTTATGTTTGCGCTAGGATATATTTTTGAACCTTCGATCAAGTCTGTCCTGAAGGTCTTTTTTTCATGGTCGAAGTTTTATTTTCATATAGAAGGATGCTTTCTACACACGCTCTAAAAAGAGCAAGCTTGGTTTTTTTTTTTTTTTTTTTTTTAAATATCTTTGACGGCCGCATGATATGCAGCTTCTTGTAGGCCTTGCTACACAGAAATCCGTTTTAACTGTTTATTTTAAGTCCTTCATCTTACTGAATTTTGAACCAACACCGCCCCTACCCCCGATAAGATTGGTGTTTCGTCTTCCTCTCTATTGGTAGTCATTAATTTGGGCTTCGTGACATTGAGAATGATATCCACTTTGGCTGAAGCATCATCTAAAGTTGTCAGTAGATTTTAGTGTCTTGTAATAACATAGATCTAAGTGCTATATCGTCAGCATATTCAAGATCTGTCAAGTATTTGCCCTTTTATCTGCTTGTGTTGTTGGGCATGATGTCTTTACAAATAATTTAACGTATCATTACTGCCTAAGGATGTAGTCAACTAACATTACAAAGGTAAAGACCAATGTGTCACTTTGTAGATTCCAGCAGTGGTGGGAAAGTCTTTGTTTGTCCATCAAATGATTTGAATATATAATGGAAATAGCTTCGACAATCTCTGCAGGAATCCCATAATTAAAAAGGATATGCAACATAGCTTTCCGGTTACCATTGTCAAAAGCTGTCAACAAAAACAAAATGTGCCTTCATGTCAGAAATATTCAGCTCTTCAATTAGTTTTCTGACGGCACAAAATTGTTGAGTAGTTGATCGGCCCTTAAGAAAACCATTTTTGTTACGTCTAAGGATAGGATTAACATGCTGAGAGATGTTTTTTATTGTACAACTTCGAAGCAAGAGGTTAGACTGTGATTCCTCTGTAGTTCGATAGTAAAGAAAGATCACCTTTCGTTGGTAGAGGTATAGTTGCAGATTTTGAAAACTGTCAGCGGAAGAGTGAAGACATTATATATATATATATATATATATACATATATATATATATATATATATATGATATATAAATCATCAAAGAAATGTAAATACATTGTTCCAATAAAGGACATAATACATCGTGTAGCATAGCTCTCAACGAATGTAGTCCTGTAAATAAATGAATAAAGAAATTGTGCAATGTAATGCCCCTGGCGGGACTCGAACCTAGACCACGGAGGCTTCATGGTTGAACAGATTTAAATACGACCAGATACACTCCATTACACAATAGGTACGGCTAGAAACATATGCATATATGCAACATATATATATATATATATAACTCAATGAAAAAGACGATGAGATGTCAACGACTTGGTAGACTTGACTTAGAACACAAATTTTATTCAAAACATTGAATAAAACTTGTGTTCTAAACACACACGCACACCCAAGATGTGTATAAGAGACAGTATATATATAGAATGATATGGTTATCATAGTAAACAAAGAGCCGGAAAGGGTAGGAAGGTAGGTGCGTTCTCTACTTTAGTACGAACATCCGGAAAGATGGTGTTGCGCATGCGTAGCTACCGAAAATTTCTTATGAATAAATTTCAATGTCTCAATCAAGTCAAAGTGCCTTGCAGTGATTTTATATATATATATTACAGTTCTCATATATATAGGAACATGATGTTATAAATCGTACTAAACATGGTTCATCAACGAAAGTTTCTAGTAAGGAACTTTCGTTGATGAACTATGTTTGATACAAACTATAACATCATGCTCCTATATGCTTTTGAGCTCTGTATTATTATCTACTTGATTTATACATTGTGTTCCCAGTGCTAAGCAGCGAACCTTAAATTAATTAGTGTATACCAACAAGATGTGTATAAGAGACAGTATATATATTATCTACAAGCTATAAATTTGTGCCCAGTGCCAAGCAGCAAAATTTGATTGATTATAGACCTATATATACTATGATGATCTGCCAATGCAGAGTTTAAGCTTTACATATATAGCATGTGTAACATTAACCAATCTTTCAAGGATACAAAAAAATGTTTGCCTACTGCTAGTTTAAATACTTACAATACTATTGGCTATATAATTTATATGCTTTATAGATACTAACATTTATAGTTATAGTACTGTATTTTAAAATCGATTAGGCTATTAGATAACCATTTTGATACATGGGAAAATAAATATAATAGATAGTACATAATATAATTCTATCCGTTAGTTGAATGAGAGTATGTGTGTGTTTGTGTTATGTAATATTTACATAATTTGATTACACTGTTCAGCATTGCGAATGTGGTATATTTCATATACTCCAATTAACATACAACAAATACGTAATACGTACCTGCGGGCACAATGACTCGCTTCTCTGAAGTAGTCACATTTGGAGGAGGTGACCGTGGTCTGTCCTCTGCAGTAGCAGTATAAGGTGGGCATGGATAAGGTGGTGCTGTTTGTGGCTCAGTCATACCTTGTCGCTTACCAACACTACAGTCAAGGGGGCTCTCCGAGTCTACCCTAGCTCCCGCTACACCATCGGTGTCAACTTCTTGTTTCATAGTTGTTACACACGAATTCCACTGCGGCTCTTGAACTGGTGTAAGAGGTGCAGCTTTTGCTTTTGGTTGTAAAGACTCAATTTGTTGAATAGATGGTTTGGTATCTTGTTGTTGGTAACTAGCCTCAAACATAGATTGATCTTCACCGACAACACACAGTGCCTCCTATAAGAAACAGGGCACAATATTAAAGCTGCTTCAACATCAAATATAAATTGAATGGAAACAATTCGTTAAAAGCATGTCCTGTTGTTTGCCGCTTGTTGTGAACATGGGCAAACCGATTCACAAACCTCCTGTTTATGAAAGAGTGACAAAATAGGAGGAAATTCATGAAAACCAGGAAATTGAATAATTCGACAACGGATAATCAATAAGGGTAACTCCGCACGTGCTAAGCTATAACTTAAACTATGAAGCTATCTAGCAAGAGCGAAGGCATCTTATCTATCTTTACTTATAACAGGACGAATGTTATGTAAGTTTCTTTTATAAGTTACCTCATAATATTAATGAATGCGTGATAAAATTAATAAAAAACCAAAGAAACAAGGTAAACTTAAATCAAAAAATACGAAATGCTTTATGTTAATTCCGTGTGGTTACCATAACAGACGAAAGGAAGAATAATACTTGGACTTATTTCTCATGGAAATTAAAGTTGTAGCAATTGACATAATCCAGTTTTAAGATGATGAATCGAATGCTTAACTAAATAAAATTATAAAACGGATGAAAAAGTAAATAAAAATGTATTGTAAAGCGTAACGTCAAGTTACAATTATTATTAATATTATATTCCTATTATTATTATTAAGATTATTATTATTTATATTTTAATTAAATTTATTTTTATCATAATTATTAGCATTATAATTATTTTTATCTTCATTATAATTATTGGCATTGGTTTTGGTAGTGAAGATTGTAGTGACAATGATTGTATTGATTTGTGAAATGCTTACGAATGCGCTTAAATAAAGAGAGGACTATCATTGGAAAGCGGCTTAAACGTTATGCATTATCTGTTAAAGTACGAAACCAATGATTATGTAATTGTAAGTTAAATATACATATGGTACAATGATTGAAAGAAATAGTTATTAAAGTGTAAATAATGTAACTGTCAAACTAAGAAACTCTAAAGCCATCGGTTTCAAAAGATGACAAAAGACAGGTGTCAAAAAAACATAATCAGATCACGAAGGCCTTTTCTCTAAATGGATTTAACAAAATTTACATATCCTATTGTATAAATATTTGACATTTATAATACTCCTCCCCTCACACACACACACACACACGCACACCCACACACACATATATATACATATATATATATATATGTGTAATATATAAGCAATATATAATATTATAATTATATAGCATAAAAATAGAGGGATAAACTCCAGCATTATTGCTAAGACAGATATGTAAATAGAAAGCAGTAAATATGAGAAAATTGCGATATAGTAAAGTCGCCCTAAATTTGATCCGACCTCGAGTCTCCTACTTGATATTAACCAAGGAGGCCATATATAATAATTAATTTGATGTACCTAAATATATTTCCAATATATGGTTCTTACCGTATGCCCTGCCATTTTGTATCGGAAACCCTTGAACGTAGCAGTCGAAAGAAGAAGACGCGATCGTTTGGACAGGAAAACTCAAGTCCACATGACGCTAACAATGACTCGACTATACAGGAAACACACAGGAAATCGTCATTTCTGCTTAACCAGTTAAGTTCCTCTATACTTCCTTCTACCAAAATTCTATTGCACACAATTACCTTATTTTCTCAAACTTTGTTTTCCTTGTTTTGAATTTTTTATTAAGCCTTTTGTAGAATATTCACTTCTTAAAAATATTGTTATTGTTATTATTATTATTATTATTATCACTGATATTTAAGTACACAAATGAACACGTGTGAACTAATGAGTGTTTCATTATGTAATACAGTATCAGTTATAACTAAAGGTCTGATCACACTTAATAAAGATGTGTTATAATTATTGTATCATGCCAGTGTGTGTGTGCGAATTACCCTTAAACCTCTTTAAATGATCGTAAAAATGGAATTATACAAACATTGTAAATCTAAATAACCTCAACTAAAAGAAAATTGACCCCTTTAACGAAATCCAAAGTTAACAATGGAAATATGTTGCAATTTCAGTACTATTTTTAATTTTACCCTTGAATGTTTTTTTTGTATTCATACTAAAGAAATAAAATAAATAAACAAGCGTATTCAGAATGTTGTTCATTTGTAACACGGGCCAATTTATGTCAGGGTGGAAACAGCAATTATTGCTGGCTTATCTATCATTTACATTCGGGAAGTCTTGAGGAAGATATTTAAGAGAGCGCCAGGAAAACAACGAGTCTTGTAAATTATCCAACCCTTCCGGCTTACAAAATTCTATAATGCAACTGCAATTGCGTATCACTGGGTTTTGCTGACTGTGGAAAGTAAAGGACAGTTATAGTATAATGACAGCTTCGTAAATATTTTAAGCATATGAAGGACACCAAAAAGGCTAAAGACGGATCATTTGAGCCACCACAAACCTTATCGCCTGCAAGCAAAATTTGGAAACCAAAATTAATTAGTGTATACCAACACAAATCTTAAAGGAGTCGTATAGTAATGGACTATAATATTGCGAAATCAATAATAATAACAATAATGTGATTTTTCCAGTCTTTCTTTCGTCGAACATCCAGAAAAAAATTTTATACCAGAATCTACTTGTAAAATTACCAATTATTCAAGTTTTAAGTGGGTTTTGGGAAAAATTATCCTCACTTGCACAAAAATAAATAGGCCTAATTGATAATAAGCCTAATAATAATTATCATTATTCCAAAATCAAGCCGGGATTATTGTAGGCTGTCTTTCATACCCGAACACTCAGAAAAGGGAACTCTATACCAGAATCTATTTGTTAAGGTACCAATTATTGAAGTTTTTAAGTGGGTTTTGGTGAAAAATAGCCTCAATCGCACCAGCATTTTACACTAAAGCAGTCTTCAAGTCTGCACTGAACTGGCGAATGTGCCGTAAGGGCAACCCGTCCAGCTGCAGACAGCCCATCATTAGGGGACATAAACGTCCGATCAATGTGTCTTAGGGATAACGTTATCAGCTCCAGTGAACTCATCATTAAGGGACATACACGTGTATATATTGCATCATGAGGGTAACACTTCCAGCTCCATAGAGCCCACCATTAGGGGACATCAACGTTAAGCCATTGTCATGAGGACAACGTTTCCAGCTGCAGCGAGCTCATCGTTAGGGGACATAAACGAGATATCATGAGGGTAAATCTTCCAGCTCCTTTGAGCTCATCATTAGAGGTATCAGCGTGCAACATGATCATAAGCTGGGTGGTTCGGGGGAATGCGTGCGGGGGAAGGGGGGCATCAACGTACAGAGAGCAGATTAGTCCTGAAACAATTAATTGCTTGTTTGCCCTTCTTTTTTTAAATGATACAGGGGCGGGCGGAAAAAGATTTTTTTTTCAAGATTAATCAGCAAGTGGAATAAAAAATAACCGACAGTTGACATTTTGGAATGAATGTAGACCTAGAATGACAATAATATTCATCAGACAACAACTTTAGACAACTTTGTAGGGCATCTAGCAAAAAAATAAAGAACAATTCACTCACATTTTTTTTAATATGTAAAGAAAAAAGCTAAAAAAAACCCTTTTTAAAGTTTTTTTGTTTTGCCTCCTCTATTTTTTCAGTGCGTTAAGGGCGGGTGAGGAGGGCAATAAACAATATATTTAGGTCTTATATCAGTTGGGTAAGATGGTGGTACTTAAATTACTGTCTGTATGCTGTAACGTAGAGATCTTTGGTGCCCGTTTCAATTCTATCTTCTTCTATCCTTTCAGCAGGAGAGTTAAAATGCAAGTTTCAACAGCACAGCGTCTTTCGAGTAAGACATTCAAGCCGTTGGTCCCGTGTGCAATATGGCCCACGTGCACGTTAATGAACACGTTATACACGTTATCTTTTAAAGAAGCAGGGGATTGCCTGCCGGTATGCTGCCCAACTCATCACCCGAAGGACCCCACTAAAAAAATCAGTGTAGAATGAAGAATTTATAAACAACGAGGACTGTTGCATAACTAAACAGATTCCAGCTTCAGGTAACTCAAAACATTCAGCCCTCAACGTGCGAATTGTTGTAAAATAAGTAAAACTTCAAGCTCCAGTCTCTCATAATAATGTCAATGGTCATGAAGGTAAACTTCACAATATTGTGTTACGAGTGTATCCCTTCAGGCTTCAAGAATTATCATTAGGAAAACTCAAAATCCAATTTAACAAATATATATTAAATATGAACAATATTTAAACATAATTCTAATTTACATATACATAATTCATTATATCTAACCTTTGTAATCGTGTGTTGCAATATGTCCATACGTCCAGTAGCAATGCGCTAAATATCACAGACTGTTTGGAATAATTTTGGTAAAAATATTTACAATAAATTAAATAACAATTAAAGCGCAAAATTTAAAAGCACTCTAGCCCCAAACGAATATGTGATGTAAACAAAAATCTAAAATGCAAAATGAGGTGTTTCGGTGTATTCTGTTAGACAAGTTAATGCCGTTTGGTCTGCCGGTTACACGCAACATGTTACAGCTAAACCCGAGAAACTGAATTACAGGAAACACAACAATACTTACGGAAAGTTCCATCAATGGCCCGTTACTTCACTTGTTCCAATCAAACACCTGTTCGTACTGAACAAGGTAACGATTGCCATATTCAATGTTTTTAAATTATTCAAACCTTTTGTCACTTGAACTAGCGAATAAAAACGTGCTGACGTGTAACCATAGAAACGACCTTCTTTTTTAAATACAAGTTCTGTTTCCAGGTGATTCTCAACATTTATTGCTGCTGATTATTATTCACAAATGGTAAAGTATGAACATGTTTAATTTGTATACTGTACTATTAAATAATAATAGTAATAATAGTAGTATTAATGAAACAATAATAAAAATAAATATAATACAAAACAATAATGATAGTAGTGATAAGCCTAATATCTAGATAACTAGTACCCAGCAACATTATGACATTACTATTATAATTACTATAATCAAGGACCTATTCATGCTATAAACTGCACTAAACTCCTCTCTGGATATACTATAGAAGTATAGCATAAGTAAAATACAAACATACATGTAGAAAATTCGTGCTGTCCTCAGGACTTTCTCAACGTGAATGAGACAACAGTAGAAAATAATACTATTGTCTCATTCACGTTGAGAAAGTCCTGAGGACAGGACGTAATATTCGTGCCTAATAAAATTATGTTCCTATAATACGTCAACTGTGTATGATTTTTTATCGTATCAATGTCTATATTTACATATATTTCGCTGGGAACATACATGATGCTTACCACCTTATTAATGCCTACTTTATATATAAATATATATATATATACATATATATAGGCCTATATATATATATATTTCTATTGTGTTAACGGTGCTACGTATATATAT